CCAGTGTGACTTGTGGGATTCATCTTCACCCACCTTGTCCTTCCCATGGGTTCCTATCAGTCGATGTGGCATTGAGCATCCACTAAATGCCTTTGCTTGAGCAGCGAAGGGACTAAGCCAACCTCACTTATCAATGTGTCTGCCTCTCCCCAATGAGTCCTGAGATTGACAACACAGACCGAACACAGTGAGTGTAAGGCAAACAGCTGAGTTAGTTTGGAGGCTTTATCACATTTGTTTATTTGGGGGAGGAAGAGGGCGCATGCCACATGCACACCCAGAAGTCAAAGGACAACCCATGGGAGTCAGCTCTCCTTCCATCATGTGGGTCTCATGAATGGAATACAGGTCCCTGGGCTTATCTGCTGAGCCCTATCTAGGTAACTAGAGAATTTTGTTAATGGCGAGTTTTAATAAGGCTTTACTTTGCTTTCTATAGGAATTACGGAAGTGTTTATAGTCTACAACAAGTGTGGATAATTAGACCGCAAATATGCCTAACACAGTGATAGGCCTGTTTCCAGTACCATGAAACCTCAGACCCTCCCCTCAGTGTCTGGAGGTACAGAGACTGCCCAGCCTCCACACACTAAGACAAGAGTCTATGAAGCTGGCAACCATATTCCCATCACAAAGATGGAGACCCAATCATGGATTTTTTGAAATTTTGAAATGATATTGTAGATAGTACATAACTATACCATGTAACACATAGAAAAGGCTTAGATTCAATAAAAATATACATTAAAGAAAACACACAGCATCTGCTACTGTTAGAAAAACAGAAGCTGGCGAGAATTTGACAACAATCCAGTAAAGTCTCCGTCATCTACTACAACGCACCAGCCCCTTGGTGGTAGGCTCTTAGCCTTGGTTTCCTTCAGAAACTGGAAATCTAATGTTTGCTGAATGACTAAGTAGAGGCAAGTTAGTATCATTTTATAATTCTGCCTGCATCTTACTTCTAGAGGTCATACACAAAGACCTGAGCTAAATATGCATGCCCAAACTACAGAACTAGAACGCAAACTCCTTCCTCAGAGGAAAGGCACCCTCACAGAAGTTAATTGGATTCTTATCTGTCTTCTATTTTTATCTCCATGTTCTCTATTAACTGGCCTCTTTTCTCTGTCTTCCTCTGACTCCCCGTCTTTCCTCAGGCTGAAACACCTTCCCCACCACTACCAGAAACCAAAGCCACCCGCCTACACTCCTAACAAGAGACCCTCAAGAGTGCCCCTTACCAACTGTTTCCATGGGCAACTGCCAATTCCTTGTCTGCAACCAGAGATTCTTAGTTTCAGTAGCTGTGTATATTATTGTTTGGACCAAAGAGATCCCTAAATAGATTAAGACTGCCTTGGAGTTGGTCATGGTGTCACACATCTATAATCCCAGCACTTGGGGGCAGGGACAGGAGAATCTAGAGCTCAAGGCCTCTGGGTCACAGAGTACAGTGGAAGGTAGTCTAAACTACATGAGAAAGGATCTTTAAGAAAACAGAGAACTACGAATTTCAATTGCACCTGGTGATGTACCCTGTAATCCAAGCAACCAGGAAGGTGAGGCAGGAAGAGCCCAAATAGAGCCTAGCCTGGGCTCACTGCAAGATCCAAGACAGCATGGTCTATAGTGAGAGCCCTGTCTCAAAATAAATAGCAAACAAGGAAAAAGATAGTTGACTTCTTTTAAATAATATATACAGAATTTTACAGTGTCTGTTCTATTCCTATAAGTACCTTTTTAAGAACTCAAAGGAATTAAAACAAATCTTTGAAAAATTAATATAGGATTTTATCATTTTTGAGTTGCCTAAAAACATGACGATGGTTATAATACTGGCTGGCCACTTGATGGAATTTAGAATCACTATGGAAGCAAGTCTCTGGACATGTCTGTGAGGGAACACTTGCATCAGGTACAATGGAGAGGGACATCCCACTCAAATGTGGGCAGCGCCGTTGCCCAGCCTTTGGACTGCAGGCACAGAGCACGTGAGCTGGGCAGCAGCATTCTGCACCCTTCTTCTGTGCCAAAGCAGCCTGGTCTCCCTGCTGTGACGGTTGGGGCCTGCAACTGTAAGCCAAAATACCCCGGCTCTCCCTACGTTGTCTGTGAAAGGTATTTTGTCACAAGAACAAGAGAAATAATTAATATGGATATCTAATTTCACAAACTGATGTTCTCTCTTTGCAAAACAAATACTATTTCATATAACGCTTTCCACAAGGTAAGTAAGCCATTTGCAGGAAGTGTGTCTTGGTTTCCTTTCCTGTTTCTGGGATAAAAATACTCTGATCAAAGAAACTTAACAAAGACAGAGTTTATTTTAGCTCACAGTTCGGGGTATGACATCATGGCAGGGAAGTCAAGGGCCAGAGCTGGAAGCAGCTGTTCACACTGCGGGATCAATGCACCCTGCTGCTCCGCTTCCTTTCTCCACCTTTCCAGTCGGGATCTAAGTCAGGAGTGCTGTCACCCACAGGGGGCAGGGCTTCCCATCTCCGTGTATGTAACCAAGACAACCCGCTAAAGGCCTGCTCAGAAGCCTGTCTCCCAGATAGCTCTAGATTTTATCAATTTGACAATACTAACCACTATAAAGCACAATTGAATTTTCAAAGCAAAAATTTTAATGACAAAGACTTTAAAAAACAAAACTTAAAGGCTGCAAATGGAAGCATTCCAAGACAGAAGTTTTGAGCAGCAAAAGCCATGGGTGTTCACTTATATTTTAGCCAGACTCCACATTAGAGTTATAGAGGGAGTTTTCAACAACTGTCTACACCAACTGAACTGGAATCCTGGGGTTTCAGCCCAGGCATAGGAATTAATCCAAGGCTTCAGAGCACAATGCATTCAAAATTATTGGCCAATTCTAAGAATTAATACATTAAAATATTAAAGTATTAACTGGCAGATACTTTATTTTAAAAGAACTGTCATTCAATCAAATGCCAATCTGTATTTAGCATTCCAGTGTTTAAATCCAATACTCAACAAACTAGACCCTCAGTTTGATGGTGTCACAGAGACAAACAGGAGACTCTGAAGTGTAGAGGAGATGGAAGGTCAAGTAGACTGTCAAGGGGTGAACATCTGACTGAGAAACTCTGACAACATTAATCTACATGCAAAGAAAGTGTCACTGCACAGGTTTTTAAAAAGAGTGGCATGGTGGTCCTCCCAAAAGAGTATGGGAGTATTTTTTTTCCTTTTCCTCTTCCTCTTCCTGGGTACAAATAAATGCACAAGACATTTACCAAAACAAGCATAAGGAGTCAGTGAAAGGAACAGACAAGAGCCTGTCTGGGGACCGTGAGACCCAAAGAACAACCTACCATGCATTCAACAGAGTTCCTGTCCCTTCACCGCATCTCAGACACAAAGGCTCTCAATAAAATCCCCAACAGAAGGGCTACCAACACAACTGCAGCCTTGGGCCGGACAAGGACAGGCAGTGAGCAGGGCAGCAAACTTCAGACAGTAATTACGCTGCACCCCAGCCAGACAGGACAGGAAACACTGCACTCAGCCTTACCCCACCTGCAGAAGGCCACAGAGATCCAAGAGTCTCATCTTCCCCATGTGCAGGTGGAACCCACATGAGGACCACATTAGAATTCCATCAAAGACTAATGCAGCCTCAGTGCCGGGCATGGTGGTCCACAGCTGTGATGTCAGTGATTGGAAGTCGGAGGCAGAGAGATCACCTGGATCCAGGAGTTGGATGACCAGCCTGGCAACACAGCGAGACCTTGTGGTGGTTTGAAAGAAAATGGTCCCCAAAGGGAGTGGCACTATTAGAGGTGTGGCCTTGTTAAAGTAGGTAAGGCCTTGTTGGAGGAAGTGTGTCACTGTGGGGTGGGCTTTGAGGTCTCCTATGCTCAAGCTACTCCCAGTGAGTAGCCTGCAAACCAAGATGTAGGGCACTGGGCTACTTCTCCAGGACCATGTCTGCCTGAAAGCTACCATGTTGCACCAGGATGACAATGGACTAAACCCCTGAAAATGCAAGCCACCCCAGTTAAATGTTTTTCCTTTAATAAGAGTTGCCACGGTCATGGTGTCTCCTCATAGAAATAGAAACCCTAAGACAGGTCTGGTGTAACAAACAAACAAACAGAAACTCCAACCATCCATTTTGACCATGGCTAAAACAAATGAGAAAAACAAAGTCTCACTAAAGAAACACAAAATCTTTTTTTTTATTTATTTATTATGTATACAGTATTCTGCCTGCATGTGTCCCTGCAGGCCAGAAGAGGGCACCAGATCTCATTACATATGGTTGTGAGCCACCATGTGGTTGCTGGGAATTGAACTCAGGACCTTTGGAAGAGCAGTCGGGTGCTCTTAAACACTGAGCCATCTCTCCAGCCCGAAACACAAAATCTTAACAAAGAAACAAAAGCTCCCAGGAAGTGAAAGGGGAGCTGGACACAGCACACAACCTGCAGTGTCTGTAATCCCGGAAGTCTGGAGGCTGAGGCAGGAGGATGGGGAGCTTGAAGTCAACCGGGAAACATGGCAAGTTAAATCGACTAAATCGCAATGAAAAAAAAAGGGGGTAAAAAATCATGAAAATGAGAGGGGCTACTGAACTGACAGCACTCAACAGCGACGTCACGGCTGGCTCATCACGCAGTGCTGTGACTCGTGGACAGGTGAGACATCTCGGTGAGAGGGCAGGGCACTGCACCCAACTCTACAGGCAGAAAACAGGAGAGCAGCTCTCCAAGGATCCAAGAGGCCAAAACAAAAATCGCCCACGTCAGCCTGCTCCCAGGAGTGAGGGGAAGGGAAGGTCGGGTAAAAATGTACTAGGAGAAATCACAAGACTTTCGATTTGGCAAGAGACAGATACACACGCACAGGTTCAAGAAGTTAAGTGAAACCTAAAGAGGACAGAACCCCAAACATCTGCCTCACGCCACAGCATAATCAATCTTCTGAAAACCAAGGACAAAGGACACATTCAGAGAAAAATGGGATCTTACCCGGTGTTCTGAAAAACAATTCAAATGAAAGCAGGCCTCTCTTCAGACACCATGGTAGGCAGAAGGAGCCGGCAGCACAATATTTTTTAAATGCTGAAGAAAAAAACAAAAAAATAGGTTGTCAACCCAAACACCTATACTCAACAAAATATATGTTGAGCTCAAGGGAAAAATTAAGAGATTCAGAGATGAAAGGAAGCTGAAGAAATTTGTCAACAACAGACATAGTTTAAAAGAATAGGTCAAAGAAATTCGTGTTAACAAAGGAGGGAACCGTACCTTATGAGGAAAACAATGTGATGAGCCAAAAACATTGGTGAATACACTTTTTCTGAGTGGTTTGCGCATGGGAAATATTTTAAAGCATAGGGTGCTATTGGTGGGGGAGGGCTCTCTTCAGGAGGCAGGACTTTGCTGGTAGAAGTAGGACACTGAGCCCAGCCTCCAGTTCCTGCCGCTCTGTCTCCTGGTCCCCACGATAGGAAGAGCTGCTGTGGGATGCCCCTGATGCCCGGATGTCCTCCAAGCTCTGCCTGCCACAATGGAGGAGAAATCTGAAACCGTGAGCACAGCAGCATCTTTCCTCCCCTAAGTCGTTCGGGCTGCCAGGAGTCTGTCAGAAGACAGCAAAGGCTGAGAGGGGAAGAGGCGGGTGAGGCTTCCGTACCTCACCACACTGGTGAACAGTGACAGTGGGCTACAGGAAGTACATGCTCTGACAATGAACACTGACAACATCTGGAATCACCTGAGAGACAGAATCTCTGGGCACGTCTATGAGGGAAATTTCTACATTGGGTTTACTGAGGTAGAAAACACCCTTCAATGTGGGTATCACCATTCCATGGGCCGGAGTCCAGGCCTGGATGAAAAGACTTGAGCTGAGCACCAGCCTCGGCCTCTCTGCACCAACTAAGATCAGAAAACAAAACAAACAAACCAACAATACAGACTTCCGCCCTAACAGCAAATACACTAAGTGTAAATAATCCAAATATACTGAGAATATATTCAAGAAACATGACTCAACTGTACGCTGCCTGTGACAACTGTCACAATTTATGGAACTGGGGATTGAATTCAGGGCCTCAGGCACACTAGGCAATCACTCTATCACTGACCTATAAGCAAGCCTCATTTCTTTCTTCTTTTTAGTTTGAGACAAGATCTAAGTTGGCCTTGAACTTACTCTGCAGCTCAGGTACACCTCAAACTGATTCTGCCTCAGCCTCCTGAATAAACGAGATTAGAACACACACCACCTACCCCAACCTAAGCTCACCACAGAGTAACTACAGAGGCAGGCTGCAAGTAAAAGAATGTAAAATGATTAATCATGTAAATAGTAGCCAAAGGAATACAGGATGACCTCTAACAACGTAGAAAGCTGACTTCGGAGCAATGGAAACATCACACACAGAATGAGGGCTAATCCATCAAGATACCGCACACCCGAATGTGTGTCCGACAAACAGCAAAGCCGGAAACACAGGAAAAACGGAAGAACTGTAGCCCACAGTCACAGCTGGACACTCAACAGTCAGCCTCCCTCCCTTTCTCCCTCCCCTCCTGTACCCCATTTCCTCCCCCTCACTCTTCCTCCCCCCCCCCCGTCACCCTGCCCCTGACCCCTCAAAAGTTCATAAACAGAAAACCAACAACAAACAATATAGAGCCCAATAGTCCCGGATCAACCAACAATTCCTAACCAACATGTATGGGGCAGTGTACCAAATAGCAGAATGTACCTCTCTGCATATCTTTCAAAATGTCCATGGACAACATCCCAAGACGACCCCAGGCAATAGAGCAAGCCTCGGGAACCATAAAACAACTGAAATCAGACGGATTGCACTCTCTGATCACAACGTAACAAGCCAGAAATCAGTAACAAAGATGAAAGGGAAATACATTTTCAACTATTTCAAAGCTAAGGAGCAGTTTTCAAATAATTCTCAGGAAGACGGTGACCAAAGCGGGGTGAAGGTACAATTCACTGGGAACCTAGCCCACAGTCGGCCTCGCTCCAACTCCGAGCTTACGTGTGATGTAAGAACTGGGCTCCCATTACAGACCTCATTTCAGCACGTATTGCTTGCTGGTTAGGTAGGCACTGTTTATATTGAATAGGATAAGATCAGGATTTTTGACTGTTTTTTTAAGTTCCGTTGTGGTGTTAGAAGTGCTGTTAAGAGGCAGAACACATATTTTCATGCACAAAGCCCCGAGTTCAATCCTTAGCATTGCCATTTCAGTTCTTCTATGGCTTGAATCACTGAATTGCCTGATAGAGTAATGAACACACACAGGTGGGTGTGTTACCAATGCTTCCCTCACCAGCCTGAGCTTGGCACTCAAATGTCACCAAAGCAGCTGCAGGGCCTGGCACCAGTCTGCACAACAGATGTGCTATACACGGACTGCTAGGGTCCCCCAAAAGTCCTAACCCTCAAAGTGAGGGTCCTGGGCAATGGGCCTCTTGTAGTTGACGAGGTTGCGAGGACAGGACTAGCACCCTCCTGGGAGAGATGTCCAAATCACATGACCAGTACCCAAGCACAGAGGAAGCAAAGACAGGAAGACCTGAGTTTACTGCTTACTTGGGCTGCAAAGCAAGCTCAAGGCCAGCCTAGGCAACCTACTGAGACTCTCTCACGTTTTAAAATGCAAAGAAGGCCAAGCATACAGTGTGGGGTAAGGCACCTGGTCTTGTGTGTATAAGATCCTGAGTTCAATTCTCAATGCCACAAAACATGAGAGACCCCAAAAAGCCCCTTCCTGCCTTCCTCCAGGCAAGGCCATGACAAGAAGATGGCCATCTACGAATCCCATGAGACACCAAATGTGACACTGCCTTTATCTCAGACTCCCCTACCTTTAGAAGCATCCCAAATAAACCTGTATTGCTCACAACACACCCAGCATATAGCCTGAACAAACTAGATAAAAATAGCAGCCTGAACAAACAAAAACAGATGTAAATTATGAAAGTTTCTCTCCTACCAACATTCTTTTTTCTAAAATATCTGATCTCAAGGAAGTATTAGGGGGAAAAAAAAAACCAAAAACAAATATCTGCGAAGATGACTCACACTAACATATGAGTAACTGCTGAGCTTGAATAGTCCCAAGGTACAAAAACACTCACCCAAAGGACATTGTAACAGAAACTGTGTGTACAGAACAGAAGCCAAGTGCTCTCTCTCATCTACGTAACTCAGCTGCCCCAAGGCCTATCACACCCTCCAGGCCCGTTTCTAACCTGATAGTTCGAGTATTTAGGATGTAAGTGGGATACAAATCCTGAATCACAAAGCACTGATAGTGCCTTCCTCCTTGCTACAAACCCAGATCCTGAAGGGGCTTTGCCACCTTTCCCACAGAGGAGATAGCCCAGAAGCTGTTGTCTGGATAAAGACAATCCAAGCCCCACCAACATTTGTAAACTCTGGCTGGTCCCTTCAGCTGCCATTAAAGCTTCCTCCTGTCTCCTAAGTGCTCTAGGGCATCCGTGTTGACGGTATAGCCAGCCCCCAGTTGTCTGTAGTCTGTCCTCTCAAATTAAGACAAAAAGACTTAAGCGGGACTGAACTGTATTTTAAGGCAACAGAGAGAAATTCTGACTCTTGGATTCAGCCGGGCTTGATGGCAACGGGTGTTCCCTTTGCTGAGTCACTCTGTTTCAGGACAGACTCAGATTCCACTGAAGTGTTTGCCTTCCCCTCCTCATTACCATCCCTTTCCTTCCCTCAGTCTGGTGGCCACGTTTGTAACTACACCATCACCTAAGTGCCAATAATGGGTTCCAGAGTGCTGGAGTGTCCACCCTGTGAGGATCAGGTAGAAGGCACACATAATGTGCTAGGCTTACCTCACAGACTCGCCAACCCCAAATCCACAGAAACAGCAAAGGACTGATCATGCTAACCCCAGCCAGCTGAGAACTAACCAGCTGCCCATCTCTCTAACAAACCTAGGGGCAGCAGGTTGTCAGGAGAAAAGGCTCGTCTGTGTACCCCTGGAGGTGGTAGCCCACTACTGGAGCGCCACTGCTTGGAAGTACAGTGGGTGGGGTGGGACATTACGGCAGGCGCGCAGAGCACAGTTGTTCCCCTTATCACCAAGCAGAAAAAGAGAGTTCCCAGACCCCTTTGGGACTTGCCTCCAATGACCCAAAGAACCCACCACCAGACCCCAGCTCTTAAGGTTTCCACCACCTGCAACACCACCAGGCTGGGCTCCAGCTTCTGACACATGGGCCTTTGACAAATATGTTAGATCCAAGCTTCGCCCAGAATGCCCAGGGCTGCAGAAGAAAACAAGCGGACACCCAAACACCAGCAAGCTGGGGAAAGCAGACTCTGCTCTGGCTCTGAAGCAATGGGAAGTAGGGGAGGAAGGCAGTGTGGTGATGACACTACCAGACAGTAGAAGTATCAGCCCCAACTGACTGGCAGTGGTCAGACCTGCTGGAGCACACGACAGAGAAGGCAAACTTCTACAAGTGGCTGATACTGCTAATCATGGTTCTCTATGCAAATGGCTTTTATTTCATGCCTGATTATTATGCAAAATAAATCTGCATGTTATGAATTACGTCCGACTGATGTGTTCTGAGCTCCTAGCCCTCTCTGGGCACCTTCCTTCGTGGTCAGTCACAAAGCAGCGGGGCCCTCCTCCTAAACTCGAAGCATTCCCAGTCACCAAGCTGGCCAGGTCACGAGGCTGGCAATTTGGAATCCCAATGTTCGGCTGGTCTGCCCTGAAACTACAGTATTTTAGTCTTTCCCAAGCTATTCCTCACCTCAACAGTTTCCTGTCACTTCCCAACTAACGAGGAACAAATGAGTTCTGAAAAGTCAACATCCAAACCAAAGATTATGCTTGCTTAATGGCTTGTTTGTCCAAGACAGATCTCACTATATAGCCCAGGCTAGCCAGTAACTGTAACTCAATATGCCTCTCTGGATTCCCTTGAACTCAGTGGCAATCCTCCTGCCTCAGTATCCCAAGTGCTAGGATTATAGGCATAAGCAAATCCTAAACTCTAAAATACTTCACTTTGAAGAGATGTTAAAACTAATTCACAACAA